GGGGGGGGGGGGGCTCATTGGCACGTCCTTCCCAAGGCCTATAAAATGAAAAAGATGAGTAAGTACGATAACAAATACCAAATGAAAACCTTTCTAAGGAAAGAAAGTTACCATGGTTACGGGCCTCCCATCGACCTCTTGACAACTCCATCCAAGCATGCTTGGAAAATGCTTTTTGTGACACCAATCCCTCAACCCATTTCCCCATGTCAGTGATCACTTCTGACACAACGGCCACGACTGCAACACAAAAATTTAGATAAGGGGAAGACAAGAAGTAAAACGGTAAAAATGAATATTCAGAGGCAGAATGGTACTTACGTTTCATGTTCCACCTTTCAAGGAACGGCATGTCTTCGGTAGGAATCAGGTCCGAAGCCTTTATTCAGAAAAATCTGTCCATCCAACCTTGGTCTTGAGTTTCGTCTATACTCGAGAACTGGGGTTTGGTGGCTCGGCGGTAGAGCTTAATCATGCCTCCACGATAAAGTCAGGGGGCATAGAGGCGCATGAGGTGATCGAAGGTAAAAGGATGCCCCTCGATCTTGCTTACAAAAAATCGAATGAGGATCACGATCCTCCAAAACGACGGGTGGATTTGACCCAGAGTGATATCGTACCTCTTGCAAAAGGCAATGATGATAGGGTCTAAAGGATTTATCGTGAAGGGGTAGCTACAAACACTCAAATACCCCTCCTTGTAAGTTGTGATGGATTCTTTAGGGCTAGGCACTACTACATCCTTGCCTACCCAGTTGCACTCCTTTTTCACCTTCTCGAGAAGACGTTCAGTGATTGTATACATGTACCTCGACATTGGTTCTCATCTACTCGGTGTCGGGGGTGTATTCTCTACCTTGAAATCAGCGACAATGGCACACTTCGTCGGAACAAAGTCCGCAAAGGGATGTTCCGTCGTGGCGCTAGTGAACTGTGATGAAGAGGCGGTTTCTTTGTGAGGGACAGTTTTAGAGGCCTTTGCCATTTTTGAGAACGAGGAAGAACAAGGGTTAGGATATATGGAATTTTAAGACGAGTCTAGTGATGAAACTTGAAGGTTTGCAGAAGAAGAACTTGAAGAATGTAAAGAGCTTAGAAGATTATAGCAGAAGAGATTAAAGTAAAGTTTGATAGAATGGAAAAGAGGCCTATTTATGGGTTTTGTGGCGACGATTCAAAGTTGCTAGTAGCTGACCGGCAACTGACGCACCTTAAATGACTGGGAAATTGAACCGATGGGACATTTCGATCACCTCTACCGCCTACGTCACAGTGTTTACGTAATGATAAACCAAGATCCGGTTCAAAAATTCAATTCGTTTCTTGTCATTACATTCCAAAAAACTAGGGGACTATCTATATACGATTAAAACCAGGCCCACCTGATTTTACTAATTATCGAGGATCAACCCCAAGCATATTGCACTGAGACATGAGGATAAAGTATCGAGCTCGGGATTTGTGGTACTTATCGAGATCAGTAATGATCGAGGTCGAATGTGATAGACATAGAGCATGACCAAAGATAGCATAATAACGGAAAGGCGAGATATTCGTAACTGGTCGAAGATTTTGGCAGAAATTTCAGAACAGATCAAATCAAGTGTAACGACCCGACTAGTCATTTTGCCTTTTCGGACCCCGTTCCCCTAAATAAAACTTCCCACACTTGCTTCAGCTAATTTATGATTTGCGGGGGAGGTTGGTTCGGGAATTGGAAGAGTTTTGAGTGAAATATGTCCATTTGATTCTTTAGGATTCTCTTAAAAGACTAAGTTTGACTTTCGTCAACATTTTGAGAAAATAGACCTGAATTCGTGATTTGACGATCCCGGAGGGTCTGTGGGAAAATATGGGACTTGGGCATATACCCAGAATCGAATTCCGAGGTCCCTAGCCCGAGTAATGAATTTTTATTAGAAATTGTTAATTTGAAGTTTTAAGGATTTAAAGAAGCTAAGTAATGATTGATTTCATGGGTATTGGGCTCGTATATTGGTTTCGAAGCCTGGTACAGGTCCAAAATATCATTTAAGACTTTTCCGTAATATTTGGTGTCAATCCGAGTAGTGTAAGGGCGTTTTGTCCCGTTAGAGGAAAATTAAGAACTTGAGGTTCATAAGTTTGATTCATTTGATTTTAGGGGGTGATTCCTAGATGTAGCATTGTTTCGAGTGTTCCGAAGGTTCGAGTAGGTTCGTCTCGTGATTTTAGACTTGTCGGTATGTTTGGGCGAGGCCGGGAGCCCCGAGCATCAATCAGACAAGGCTAGAGTGAAGTGGAAAATTTGAGAAAGGGTTGAAGGTTGCTACTTATGTCATAACCGCACCTTCGGTTGGTGGACCGCAGGTGCGAGACCGCAGAAGCAGCCCAGGGCAGGCCAGGCCAGGAATCACAGATGCGGCTCTCTAGCCGCAGAAGTTGCCTCGCAGATGCGAGCTTCAGACCGCAGAAGCGGTGCCAGCCTTCACTTCCCCTTTTTGCAGATGCGGCCTCATTCTTGCGGATGCGGGACTGCAGATGCGGTCCCCTAATCGCAGATGCGGAAATCGCTGGGCAGTGAGGTTCATTTAATACGAGTTCAAGACCATTTTTTATCATTTATACACTTTTCCATTGGCGATTTTTGGAGCTTTGGGGAGAAGACTTCCACTTAGCATTGTGAGGTAAGTTTATTCCACCCATCCTTAGTTTAATACTTGTATATTAGGTAGATTAAACACTAGAAATTACGTAAAATCAAGGGGCTAGAGCAAGACCTAGGGTTTTACTAAAAGTTAGATTTAACTACAAAAATTGTTATGGAATTAATTAGAAATCATATATTATTGATCCTTAGGTTGTAGAGAACAACATCCTTCGAAAAATCACGGAATCCGGGCACGTGGGCCCGGGGTCGGAATTTAGGAAACTTGTGTTAATGGTTGGTNATGTTAACTGTCCGGGTAGTCTAGGACCCACATCATACCTTATTTGTGAATATCTCTATATTTCTTTGCTAATGTGATCATGTAGGATATGCTAGAGACTTGGAAAGGAATAAAGGTGAACATGTATACTTGTTGAACCCTTGCAAGAATTTATTGAATATAAATGCGCCTTTGTGTGTATTATTGATGTTTCAGGATATTTATGGAGCGGGCCGATCGCCTCGGTATAAATAGATGCATCTATGGTTCGCGTCGTTCGACCCTCGGCAGTGCACAGTTTATTTCCTGTTGGAGCGGGCCTTTGACCTCGGCATAATGTGCGCATGATATCTATGTGAAAGCTTATACACGATTTGTTATGCTAATATCTCGAAATGTAAATAGCTAACTGAAATATTGTTGAGAACATGATTTTACCTCTTGCTATAAACTATTGATCAATGGTGACCCACATGCTTAGCATAGCACTTTATTATATTATTTGACCCTAGTAAGTGTCAAGTCGACCTCTTGTCTCTACTTCTTCGAGATTAGACGGGATACTTACTGGGTACATATTATTTATGTACTCATACTACACTTCTGTACTTAATTGTACAGGATCTGAGGGAGGTACATCTGGCTATCAGTCTGGTGCGCGCCTCTGATTTATAGACCGAGATTTCCACAGTGAGCTGCTCCCTTCCTAATCCATTCAACAACCAGATGGAGTCTTTTCTTACTTTTGTTGTCTTTTCTATCTTAGACAATGGGATAGAGATATTCTTTTGTATATTCTACTAGATGCCTATTACTTGTGACACCAGGTCTTGGCACACCTAATAGAGTCTTGTAGATCAGTACGGAGACGTCTGTATTTATCTTCGAGAGGTTATAGGGTATTAGGAAAAACTACTCTTTATTCATTT